GCCCACCTCCAGCCCCTCCACCCCCCACCCCTGCAGCGGAGAGAAAGGCTTACCCTTGGGCCTCGGGGGCCAGTGTCTCCCTTGGGTCCCTATTGGGGATGAGGGAGAAGAAAGAAAAGGGGCCGGATTAGAAAAGCGAGGGTGGGTAGGAGTCCCCGCCGCGGGCAAACGTCAGAGCGGAGGATTACCTCTACTCCTGCGGTTTGTTCCTCCGTAGGTGACGCTAAGGGGAGAAGAGACGCGGGTTAGAGGCCGGCTGTGCCCACGGCGTGGCCAGCTCCCCCGCGCAGAGGCCACCCCGCGGCAAGGGAGCGCGCGCCCAGACCTCCCGGCGCGAGCGTACCCGAGCCGTCGGGGCAGACAGGACAGCACTCGCCGTCGGCGGCCTGGACGCCGGGGCACTTCTCCTCACAGACCACGGCATCGCACAGCACCGTGCCGTTGTCGCAGACGCAGATCTTACAGGCCTCGGGTTTCCATACGTCTCGGTTCTGGTACCGGAGGCCGTCCTGGACGCAGTCGCGTTGTGGGACTGGGGCACGTGGAGAAGGAGGGTGGCCGTCAGCGGCGCCCACGACCCCCACCTCGGGGCTCTCGGGACCCCAACTCTACCCGCCCTTTCCCTCTCGGAGGCATGTTTGGAGTTCGCATTTCCCGCCTGCCCTGTTCCCGCTCCCCCGGCGTTCCGCAAAGCCCGAAGAGCTCGTCTGCGCCTCGTCAGCGCCAGTGACAGCGCCGAGGCGCCCGGCCAGGGCGGCTGGAGCTCTCCAGCTCAGGAATCTAAACAAAGCTTTGGGCAGGGGTTGCTTCCAGCTCCAACCTCAGCCCGCCGGCGCTGGAGCCAAGTGAAATAAAAAGTCACAGGGGTGGGGGTGCAGGAGGGAGAGCGCAGGAGGGGCCCGATCGAGAGGGCAGGCTTGGGGTGGGGGAGTGGTTTGCATAGAGACGCGGGGAGCGGGTCGGGGCGGAGAACCCAGGTCTCGCCTTCATTCCGCCGCCTTCCCTGCGCAGGTGGGATGGCGTGGGCGGGGCTGGGAGAAAGGGCGGGGCCGCTGGGATGGAGCCCCTTGCCGAGGCTTGAAATGCACCCCGAGAGTAGGATACACCCTAACTCACAGCGCCCAGACGTCCTAAAAGCCTGTCCTGAGGGCCGGCCCCAGTCTCTCAAAGTCAGCGACTGCCTCTGTCTCTCCTTTGCCCCAAACCCCACATAGTGGTTAACCACGCCCACCGCCAGCATCTACCCAAATCGCCACTAGGTGGCGGGCAACGCTAAGCGATGGGGACGGGGCGGGGCCAATATCGCCCGACCGGCCCCTTTTTATAGAGGCAGGGGCTACCCATCCCGGCCTTTATTTTCCAGGTCTAGAGGTGGGGTCCACACCCGACAATAACCCGATCTTCCCATTCCAGCTCCGGTTCTCGCGCCGGGAAGTGCTGGCTAGGGAGGCGCGGTGCTCAGTATTGATCAGCAGGGGGCGCCAGGACCCGACCCTGCCAAGTCCCCGCCAAAGTTTCTCATCCTCCAACCCGCCCACTCTCCGCGCCCCCTCCCCCCTCGGCCCAGCACCCCCGCGGCCCTAGGAACACTGTCTAGCCTGCAGAGAGGGCAAACAATCTTTCCTCATGAATCATCCCACTGCCTTCCCGATCACTTTATCATCTCGGGCTCCAGCTCGGCGCCCCCATCCCACTTTCGACGTGTTGCCCCCCACACACCGCCCTGAGCCCAGATCCCCACTTTCCCTCCCTCCCCTGCGAACTCCTGCAGTACTCCATCCTCATCTGCCACTCCTGAGGAGTGTTCATTCCTAGCCCCAGCCCAGGCCGAACTCCCTTCTCTCCCAGGACACCGAGGGAGAGCCCTCATCCTCCCCTCATCCTCTTTCCCATCTCCGTGTCTCTGGGCATCCTGAGTCCCAGTTTATGTCGCAGGCCCGGTGCCAAGCGCAGGGCGCGGACTCCGGAAAGTTTAAGACTTACTGTCTCCTTGGTCCTTGAGTTGGCCTTCCTCTTGGTCCACAACTTGGTCTTGGTCTTCCTCTTGAGCGTGCGTCAAGAGGGCTGTGGCCGCTAAGAGGAGCAGGAGCCGGAGGTCCACAAAGCTGAACATGTCTAGACCCTAGACATGTAGACTCTTTGCGGCTGGGTGGGGGTCAGCGTCCGCTCATGCGTGGCCTCACTCCGCGTGCCTCCTGCTCCGACCCCGAGGAGAAACTCCCGTCTGCTCCGACGCCTGGCCCTGACCCTTTTTATACCGTCCTGACAGAGAGCCGGGAGGAACCCTGCCCCTCAGAGAGGGGGAGCCTGCCTCCGGTCCCCTAGCCAATCAGAGCTGTCTGGCCCGGCCCCCAATTTGGGAGCTGGAACAGAGAGGGGGAGGAGGAGGGATGGGAAGGGAAGGGAGTCTGCTCCACGTCTCCCCCTTTGCAATTGTGCCTCCCCAGCCCCCCAGCCCAGCCTGGGCCAGAGATGCCGCTGGGGTGCACTGGGGTTCTCAGTACAGTGTGGGCTGAGCAGTGGGTAAAGGAGCCCCTTTTACTTTCTTCCTGGGACCTCCAATCAAGAGGAAATGGAATTGGGGACTGGGTGGGGAGCCCTTCAAAAGTGGAGGAGGGATTGTGGGTGATTGGGAGAGGGTCCTCCTGGCCAGGCCTCACTGACCCTCTGTTACCCTTGGTGAGAGCTAAGGGATGGTTACAACGAGGACAGCTGGGGGCCTCTCCAGTCGGGAGAACCAGGGAGTTGAAAAGATGTGCCCATTGGGGTGTCTTCTGGTGTGGAGAGGGTAGGGCACTTAGAAATGTTTGGGGACCGACGTAGAGATTGCTTCATAGACATTAAGAATGTGATACCTAGTGCAGGGGGTGCTAGCCAAGGGGGCTTCATTTTGAAGATGCAGATTCTTCTGCTATGCCTGAGGCTCTAAGACAGACTCAAATGCCCTCCTCCAAGCCCATGCATGACAGAGAGACGGGGTGGGGAGGACGAGGGCCGGGTGAGGGCCTTGACTACGTGGTCTCTCCAGAAGGAAGCTTTGGTGCTGAGTGACCTGACAGCAGAGTGGAGAGTGGGGTCCTGGGGACTCAGAAATTCACCCCCCCAAACTCTTCCACCACTGACTTGGGGAGTGAGCTTGCAGGGGGAGGCCTGTGGTCCCTGGTGACTTAGAAAAGGGTCTGAGTCTGCCATGGCCATGGCCATGGCCAGGAGCTGGTCAGACCCTACTGCCCGGTACAGTCAAACCAGAGAGAGCTTGGGGAGCAGGCACTTGGCCAGGGCAGGTGTCCTACTAGAAGCTGCTCAAAGCCCTTTCTCAGGTGTACCTGGACTCGGAGACATACGGAGATGCTGGGTATCTGGCAGGAGACTTGCCCTTGGGGTTTTGGGATGGAATTGCAGCGGGTGTTGAGTGACCTCATTTTCAAGGCTGTCCCCCACCACCTTGTCTCTTCCCTAAGGATCAAGCCATTGCTCTCTGGCCCTGGAACCAGGAGACTCATCTGTACCCTCAGAGCAGCAGGCTACACTGGGGAACGATGTCTCGAGAAGTCATCCCAGTGTCCCAGTCCTCAATCCCCCTTCCCAGTCTCCCTCAAACCCAATCCACCCAGGCCCCTCATCCTGCCAAATTCTGTGGGCCCCAGAGAAAGCCATGGGGGGCTCCTTGCAGGGCCCTCTGGTCCTCCCCCTCCTGTCTAACTCCCCCACTCCCGTTGTTGCTCCAGAGCTGCAAACGTGGAAGCGGGGAGGCCCGCCTCCCCCCAACCAATATCCCTTGCCCCCCCGCCGCCCCTCTCCACACCCTCCCCCAGCTGGTTTTGTGCAACGAAGGCAAGGGGAAAAAAGACCAAGGGAGCAGAAGGGAGGGAGCCACGTCGCCGCCGTGGGCAGCCAGGAGGAGCAGCGGGCGGGGTGGCGAGGGAGGCTGCAGGGGCTATAATTACAGGGAAAATATAGTTTCCAGAGAGGCAGGGCTGGAGACGGCCATGGAGGGACAGGCCTTCATCAATTATCCTGACCATGTGGCAGCAGCTTGTGGCCCGGGGTCTGCCCCTCCTAGTGCGAGCAACTGCAGGGCAGGCCTGGGGCCGAGGTGCTGAGATGGCAGTCCCTGGGCCCACTCAAATCCTGTCCTCAGCTGCTGCTCAGTTCCCAGGGGTGCCCCCTCCCAGGGAAGCAAGGGTCCTGTCCTTCAGAGAAGCAGACATTTGGCGTGGTGCATGGGCAGGGTGTCACAGGGCTGGGTATGAGGGCTGAGGAGGCTTGCTCACCCCCTGCTTGTTGGGTGTTTGTGGCCAGAACTCCTGCCCGTAGCCCCCTCCCCACTTCCTGTGCAGGCTTTCGCAAGCCCACCTTCCAGGACAGATGAAGCCTCAGAGGTGGGGATGGGGAGTGGCTAGCTCATGGCCTGGGGTCCTGCAGGATGTGCGAAGACCCCAGAATGGAGCTCTGTGTGTGTGGTGTGTGAAGCCACCACCCCAGCAGCCAGTTTCAAGCCTT